ATGTTCGCTACCTTGATAACTATCGTTGTTCTCTCAACTAATTCTCGGTGAAATGCATTACCGCAAGATATTGCTTGACATGTCGTATGTCTTTCAAGGCGAGTTAACCTGAACATTTTTAATATACTTCATCTTTTTCAAGCCTTTGCAGAAATTCTCCCATTTCATCAACATGCCGCATTTCCGATCCGATAAAGAAATCGTAGCTGCGATGGAGCTCCATTCTTTGGTATGATGCTCCAAGGCAACAAAGGCCGTAATGAATGAAATAGTTGCGAGGCCGAGACCGCTCAAGCTGGTGGGTAGAGATGTTGAATTTTTTTTATTCTTCTTTCACAATAACAAAATAGCCGAGTAATATTTTGGAAAATTTTCAGACCATATATTATTCGTTTGCTTTGTCCATGTAAATGTTAATTAAATAAATTTAAAATTATTAATTTATTTCATGAGCAATATCTCGATTTATTCTGATAGAAATATTTTTTAATACATTTTTCATAAATTGATCATTTAAACAAGTAGTAGTTGATGATATGCGCATTACCGAACACAAACTAACATATTATAGTTCTTCATTTTATTATTCTTATTGTTATTTATATTATTCGTTATTGGCACTGCTGTTGTTATTATTATTAATTGTTTGGTTATCATTATTTATTATATTTTTATTGATTTTCTTGCTCTATTTGTTGTTTTCCTCTGGACACACACTGGGTGTTTTGAATTACTAATCCTCCAATCACAATGATAGTTTTGAATTTTCGGTTACTTTTTACAGGTGAGCTCTTGTCAAGTTTTGGGGTCGTTTGATAGATTTGACAAAAACGTGGGCTCGAATCATGTGATCATAGCAAAAAATATTTTGCCACGTTGAACTGTCTCATTTTGTCGCTGTGATTTATGTTGTGTTAACTTTGATTTCTGCCATTGTTCTTCCCGCGTATTTTGAAACATTTCGAAAAAAAACAAAAAACAAAGAAATGAAAAATAGAAAAATAAAGAATAAAAATGAAAGAAATGGAGAACGAATAAAAAAGTGAAATAAAAAGGTATGGAAAAGTATGAGTGTCCACATGTTGACTGTAATGCGACCATGCAGGGCAAAATCAAATATAACGAACATTTCCAAATGCACGATAAACCATTTCGTTATCAATGCAAACATACCGGTTGTGGGAAAGAATTCCACAATCCATCATCATTTTCCATACACAAGAAGTCCTGTAAACGCAAACCTCAAAGTAAAAATTTAGCAGGGTTTTCACACTTTTATCTACCTGAAATGAATGCACATGGAAATATGTTAAGAAATATCTGTGACCATGAAGTGGAACAAATTGTTCACTTCGTTTAACTCAATAAAGTGTTGATCTATGAGATGTTCATTCCAGGTCCAACGGAAAGAAATCCACATATCCAAAAACATGATGAACATTGCAAGCAACCCGGTAATGGGGAAGAATTCCGCAGTCAATCACCATTTTACAGACACAAGAAATTCCGACAACACAAACCTCAGAGTAAAACAATTTTAGCAGAGTTTTTAGCATTTTTGTTTACCTGGAATGAATGCACGTGAAAATATGTTACGAAATACGTGTGACCGTAGAGTGTAGGAAAAATTAAAAGTAAAGGTTTTTGATTTGGAAGGGTTTGATTTGGAAGGGTTTGTTCTTAGGCACAGACGAACATTCTGAGAAGGTATTCCTCGTTCGGTTTAGGAGGAAGTTATTAATTTGCAGCGGATAGTAGTAAAATTTTTATCGAAGAGAGTAGAGGATTCAATATGTACGTTGCAATCCTTGGCTGAGTGTTTGAAAAGGAAAATGATGTAGTTATAGCCTTGAGTATACAAACAATTTTAATTAACACAGTGGGCATATTTGGGGGGTGTGGTTTAGAACGAGCATTACATTATATTTTGCTTTGGATAAAGAAAAACTGTCAAAATCCGGTCACAACAAAAGGCTCTGTATGCAACATCAACCATATTGCAATTAAGATCGGTTCTTAGACAAAGAAATTTACTCAAATAAAAACTCAATAAAGGCTTATCTAAAAATGTGCATTCCAGGTCCAAAGGAAGGAAATCCGCTGTTGGGACATACTTTGAAAGACGCTTCATTGGGTCAACAAAACCACTCGGACAATGAGTCACTTTCTTATACCTGATCGTCATCAACTTGTTGGATAAGATTGATGTATAACAAATTTGTGCTAAAGAATTATATCTTTTACTTTTAAAGCGAATACAAAATATGACGAAAAAAAATCATCAGCTTTCGATGAGATGCTAAAGATTTAGTGCAAAGAAGTTTTGAAATACGATAACTTCTAGCACAAAAGGAAGCTATCCAACAAATTATGTATGTTGTTATGTTTTGCTGTTCATGAAATGTCTATCATAAAAATTT